TGGTTTTGAAGTGATCATTGTGTGAAATCATGTTACTGTTTTGCTGGAATTGATAGTGAGCCTGGCTGGAAGAAACCTGGTGTTTTAGCCCCGTTTTCTTTCCCAGCCTCCTGTACTTCCCTCTTCCCTCTGATCAGTCCCCCTCCCCCATGCTCGTCTAGGTGACCTTCTACAAGCCACAGAACCTTCCTCTGTCACATCTTCCCATCTGCCACTGCCCCGGCCTTCCACCAAGTCCTTCTCTGCTCTGAGATTCACCCAGTCCCTGCCTGCCTCCTTCCAGAAGCCTTCCCTAAGGCTAACGTCTCCTCCCCGGTGCCAGTGTGGACCCTCCGTGCTTTTACTGGTGTGTTTACTCTCCTCCCCACTCATTTTGGTTATTTGAGCACTAACATTTACTGAACGTTTGAAGTCCTAGGCTGAGTTCTAACAGCCCAACCACCCTGATTTTTATCCTCATTTTACATGAGAGGGAAATGAAGGCTCAGAGAGGTTAAGTGTGCCTAAGGTCACACAGCGTGTAATTGGCAGAGCACAGATAGAAGCTCAGGAAGTTTTTCCTCACTTAGAGCAACTTCTACTTAAGTATTTTACACATCTGCATTTTTAATGCCTGGCAGAGTGCCAGGAACATAGTAGGTGCTCAGTAAATATCTGTTTAAGATGAACTCTCTTAAGCGGTAAACGTCATCACAAATTATTTCTGTACATTTCTTTGTAAAATGTAGCCTCCCCTGGACTTCTGCAGGATGAGGTTCTGAGTTACTGCTCTTCCTTGTCCCTCCTGTGGCTGGCCGGGGGTCACTTACCACTTCTTTTGTGATTATACTGTTAGTTTGCTGCTTAAAAGATGAGCATGTTTGCTTAAAATTCTCTACATGACATATACTTATATGCATTGAGAAAAGGATGTTACTTATGGTTTCTTTGCATGAGATTAATCCCAGTGGTTTTTATTTTCTGCTTTGAACTTCTCTGTATTTTCTAAAGTTCCTACAAATTTTTATTGCTTTTGTAATTACCAAGCCATGTTATTTACAATGAGAAGAGAAAACTATTTTTTTTCGGAGTGCATGAAAAGGAAAACCTTAAATTTTTTTCTCCTGTGGATTAAGCTAAGCCTGCCACACATATAAAAAGTCACGTGAGACATACTTTGGCTACAGAACATGCATTGCAGATCTGTTCCTACTCTACTATTGAAACCATCTACCCAAAGGTCATTTTCTTATTCCAGTGTGTCAAAGGCACATAACAAAGTAAGAGAGGCGCACATGATACTTGAGTGAGAGGTGGTCGTCTTGGGGAGACGGTTATTCCAAAGAGTTTATTTGTAGTTCAGAAGTTCAAGGTTGTCAGATCAAGGTTGTCCAGGTCAGTGGAATGCTTTGGTTTTGGAGGTAGAGTAGCATAAGCATGAACTCAGGCTCTAGGTACCATTTGAGAAGAGTAAGTCCAAAGTCACATAAATAAACCCCAAAGTGTGAGTTTGAGGTCAGGCTCAGAGCCTTTGGCAGGGGACCAGGGCCAGGGAACAGTTGGTTTTTCTCAGGATTATAGGTAATTTAGCCAGGACTGCAGGGGCTCAGAGACTGTCTGGTGGTTTGATTCTTTTTATTTAAAAAATGGCATGCTTCACTGTTAGGAAAGAAAATTCTGAGAAAGGCGGAGATGGTTGTGTCTTCTGTCTGTGTCATGCCATTTGTGGCCGCACCTGCCTGTTCACCTGGAGAAGTTAGACAGGATGGCTCCTCCATTCCTTGGAGAGCTGGGAAAGCTGGTCCATTCCTTGCTTTCCCCGGCATAATTTTGGGCCAGGAAGGTTCATCCGTCCTAAAGATTGAGGAGAAAAATAAGAAAAGTCTATCTTCAAGGTAGAGAAATCCCAGTGATCTGCCAAAACCCATTTCCTGAAAATTGCTGGAAAGTCTAGTGCGTGAACGAGCATGGCAAAGAGCGTAGGAAGCACCTTCTGGCCCATCCTTGGGATTGTGCTGCTTGATGGGGTGCTATTCCCACGGCCAGTGTTGTGCTAGTGTCATGCGAGGCACTGTGCTCACCATGTCGCATAGATTCTTACTTGCCCATTCAATGAGGAAGGAAGGTCATTTGACAGGAAGCCGAGGCTTAGACTGTATGGTATTATGCCCAACGTCACACAGCTAACAAGCGAAATCAGGTTTTCCCAGAGTCCACACTCTTCTCGGAGGCACAGTTTGGGGTCTTCTTGTAGTACAGGTGTCCCTGAGTATGCCAGATGAGGGTGAGAGGAGATGTATCTTGCAAATCTTGCAAGATCAGGGTCAGACCTAAATCTTTATTGAAAATTTTATTGCTTTGTTCATTGTGGATTTTTTTTTTATTACTTGTGTTTTTTTTTGTTTGTTTGTTTTTGTTTTTGTTTTGAGACAGAGTCTTGCTGTTGTCACCCAGGCTGGAGTGTAGTGGTGTGATCTCAGCTCACTGCAACCTCCACCTCCTGGGTTCAAGTGATTCTCCTGCCTCAGCCTCCGGAGTAGCTGGGATTCCAGGCGTCTGCCACCATGCCTGGCTAATTTTTGTATTTTTAGTAGAGACGGGGTTTCACCATGTTGGTCAGGCTGGTTTCGAACCGCTGACCTTGTGATCCTCCTGCCTCGGCCTCCCAAAGTGCTGGGATTACAGGCATGAGCCACTGCACCTGACCGTATTTGCCTTATTTTTTTTAAATTTAAAAATTTTTTTGAGGCTGAGTCTTGCTCTGTTGCCTAGGCTAAAGTGTAGTGGTGCAACCTCCATCTCCCAGGTTCAAGGGAATCTCCTGCCTCAGCCTCCTGAGTAGCTGGGATTATAGGCACCCGCCACCATGCCTGGCTAATTTTTTTTTTTTTTGTATTTTTAGTAGAGACAGGGTTTTGCCATTTTGGTCAGGCTGGTCTTGAACTCCTGACCTCAGATGATCTACCCACTTGGCCTCCCAAAGCGCTGGGAGTACGGGAGTGAGCCACCACGCCTGGCTTATATTTGCCTTATTTTGTTTTCTTTCCTTAAGGTTTTTTTTTTCTTTTTTTTTTTTTTCTTTTTCTTTTTCTTTTTTTTGAGATGGAGTCTTGCTCTGTCATACAGACTGGAGTGCAGTGGCGTGATCTTGGCTCACTGCAAACTCCGCCTCCCGGGTTCACGCCATTCTCCTGCCTCAGCCTTCTGAGTAGCTGGGACTACAGGCGCCTGCCACCATGCCTGGCTAATTTTTTGTATTTTTAGTAGAGACAGAGTTTCACAGTGTTAGCTAGGATGATCTCGATCTCCTGACCTCGTGATCCGCCTGCCTCGACCTCCCAAAGTGCTGGTATAACAGGCGTGAGCCACTGCGCCCAGCCTGTTTTCTTTCCTTAAGTTTTAAAAAATGGACTTTATTATTCACAGCAGTTTTAAGTTCTCAGCAAAATCGAGCAGAAGTTAGAATTCCCCTATGCTCTCCCCCTGAACCTCCCCTACCATCAATATCCCACAGTTTCCTTAATTTTTACATTTTTGAGAATGCTGTATTTTTTTCAAATTGATAATATATTATACATATGTTTTGTGAATTTCTTTGCCCTCCATTATCTTGCTTCAGTAATTTTTTTTTTTTTTGAGTTGGAGGTTTGCTCTTGTTGCCCAAGCTAGAGTGCAATGGTGCGATCTCAGCTCACTGCCCCGTCCGCCTCCTGGTGGTGCAACCTCCATCTCCCAGGTTCAAGCGAATCTCCTGCCTCAGCCTCCTGAGTAGCTGGGATTACAGGTGCCTGCCACACACCCGGCTAATTTTTTTTTTTTTTTTTTTGAGATGGAGTCTCGCTCTGTCACCCAGGCTGGAGTGCAGTGGCGCGATCTCGGCTCACTGCAAACTCCGCCTTCTGGGTTCACACCATTGTCCTGCCTCAGCCTCCCGAGTAGCTGGGAACAGTAGGTGCCCGTCACCACGCCTGGCTAATTTTTTGTATATTTAGTAGGGTAGTCTCTCGATCTCCTGACCTCGGGATCCGCCCGCCCTGGCCTTCCAAAGTGCTGGGATTACAGGCATGAGCCACTGTGCCCAGCCTAATTTTTTGTATTTTTAGTAGAAACAGGGTTTCACCATGTTAGCCAGGCTGGTCTCGAACTCCTGACCTCGAATGATCCGCCCGCCTTGGCCTTCCAAAGTGTTGGGATTACAGGTGTGAGCCATTGTGCTCAGCTGCTTCAGTAGTCTTTAAGTCAACATGATTAAGGTCAAGTCAAAGGTCTCTTGAGGTCATTTCCTGTTGACCTTTCTCTGAGGAATGCAGCTGAGTTCACATGATGGGGAAGGGGGTTCCCAGATGTCTTTCAAGTCCTTGAATATTTATTATGCAGATCAATTTCCCAGAATGTGTATAGAAGGCTTTAGGGGCTATGAAGTCTCTACCTTCTTTTCTCTCTCTCTCTTTCTTTCTTTTCTTTCTCTCGTCTCTCTCTCTCTCTTTCGTTCCCTCTCTCCCTCTCCCACCCCTGCCCCCCATTTTTCCTTCCTTCTTTCTCCCTTTCTTTCCAGGCAGGGACTCATTCTGTCACCAGGGCTGTAGTGCAGCGGTGTGATCATAACTCACTGAAGCCTCAACCTCCTAGGCCCAGGTGATCCACCCACCTCAGCCTCTCAAGTAGCTGGGACTACAGGTGCGGGCTGTCACTTCTGGCTAATTTTTGGAATTTTTTTGTAGGGATGGGAGTCTTGCTATCTTCCCCAGGCTGGTCTCAAAATGACCTCAAGCAATCCTCTCCTCTTAGCCTCCCAAAGTGCTGGGATTACAGGTCAACCACTGTGCCTGGCTCTTCCTGTCTCTTTTTACTTGACTTTTTTCTCACTGGCACTTGGGGGAGGGGGTTTGGGATTCACTTTCTATCAGAAGTGTTCTTCATGGGTTAGAAAATAGAACTGTAGCGGGAATGTTTCCAGAAAAGTCTTAAGTGTCAGAGGAGACACTTAAGTGAGATGAATCAGTTACTCCTGTATGCCATACCTGCGTACAAGTGTGGAGTTTCTGAGTGGCGTAGGACAGATTTCTGAGGTGGTGGGTAGGCAAGAACTGACAAGGTCTGCCTTCTCATTGATGTGCAGAAGAGAATCTTTTCCTTGTGTACCAACAGTTCTGGCTTATTTTGTTTGTGTCTGTGCAGCTATTCCTAGCTCAGGGCATGTTCTGTAGTAGGTGCTCATTAAATCTTTGTTGAAGAAACCCTCTTGGGGTTTCTGGATAAACTTACCTTGAACCTTTCAAACCTGGTCTGACCTCACCAGCTGTTTGGCTCCCATGGTCTGTAAAAGCCTTGAATTTATAGTCACAAATGGGTGGCAAATATACATTTATGATCTTAGTCGTCAGACACTGTTTATCTACTTTACCCATCCTTTGACTTCTGGATTGTTTCTGTCTCTCTCATCCAGGCCTGTTAGCCTCTGGTAAAGTTAGAAATGCTCTAACAATATTCTAGGAGTGGCTGAGGCACCTTGCAAGTCTGGAGCTACAAGATCTTAAAAACAAATACCCATTTAGGTTGCTGGCGCGAGGTTGTGGAGAATAGGGAATGCCTATGCACTGTTGGTCAGAGTGTAAATTAGTTCAACCGTTGTGGAAAGCAGTGTGGTGTGATTCCTCAGAGAGCAAAAAAACAGAACTACCATTCAACTGAGCAGTCTCATTACTGGGTATATATCCCCCAAAATATAAGCCATTCTACCATAAGGACATAGGCACGCCACTGTTCATTGCAGCACCGTTCACAATAGCAAACACATGGAAGCAACCTAAATTCCCACCAGTGACAGATTGAATAAAGGAAATGTGGCACATATACACCATGGAACACCATGCAGCCATAAAAAGGAACAAAATCATGTCCTTTGCAGGAGCATAGATGGAACTGGAAGCCATTGTCCTTAGCAAACTAACGCAGGAACAGAAAAGCAAATACTGCATGTTGTCACTTATAAGTGGCCATTAAATGATGAGAATTCATGGACACTCAGAGGGGAACGACAGACACTGGGGCCTACTTGAGGGAGAAGGGTGGCAGGAGGGAGAGGAGCAGAACAAATAACTCTTGGGTACTAGGCTTAGTACCTGGATGACAAAATAGTCTGTTAAACCCCTGTGACATGTGTTTACCCATGTAACAAATCTGCACATACGCCCTGAACCTAAAATAAAAGTTAAACATTAAAACAAAAATTACCCCTCCCCTTCAAATCCCAAATAGCCATTTAGGAAAATCAAATTTTTTTTTTTTTTTTTGAGATGGGATCTCACTCTGTAACCTTGGCTGGAGTGTAGTGGCGTGATCTAGGCTCACTGAAACTTCTGCCTCCCAGATTTCAAGCAATCAAAAATACCTACTTGGTAGTATGGTATCATACATTAGTGGCTTATAAATTAGCATGGCCTTTTCTTTTTTTTTTTTTTTTTTGAGATGGAGTTTCGCTCTTTTTGCCCAGGCTGGAGTGCAATGGCGCCATCTCAGCTCACTGCAACCTCTGCCTCCTAGATTCAAGTGATTCTCCTGACTAAGCCTCCCGAGTAGCTGGGATTACAGGCACCTGCCACCACGCCTGGCTAATTTTTGTATTTTTAGTAGAGATGGGGTTTTACCATGTTGACCAGGCTGGTCTTGAACTCTTGATCTCAGGTGATCCACCTGCCTCGGCCTCCCAAAGTGCTGGGATTACAGGCGTGAGCCACCGCACCCGGCCAGCATGACCTTTTCTAAATACTTCAAGATTATCCTTCTTTAGCTGAATTGTAATTGCCTGATTGCTTAACTGTACCTCCATGAATAATCCTGTTGGCACCAAGTCCTGTGAATGCCTTACTTTTAAGGAAGGGTTTACCTAATAGCATGTAAGATTGTGCAGGAAACAAAGGACAGAAAGGCCCAGGAAATTGGCATATGGATAGTTTGCCTCCGTTTGTTAATTTACGGGCCACCTTAGTCAGTTTTGGGGGCGTGGCATTTGTTTTCACCATATGGTGGGTGACAGAACATCTGGACTCTGTTTACCTGATAGCCACAGGGCAGCATTTCAGGAACTCTTGAGAATGTGGGAAAGGACATTTTAGTTCTAGTCTGAAACTAGGACATTTTAGTTCTACTTTGAAAGAGTCAGAGAGTCTGGGTTGCTCTTGGTGGTTTATGCTCAAAAGCCTTTTAATTCTTTCTAATTGAATCCCTTGGCTTAGATTCTTTTGATTTGTATTTGATTAAACAACAAAGCGACACCATCTGTGGCCTTCATTTGTATGCATCTTTACCTACTGCTGTGAACCCAATGAGAGACGTCTTTCAGAGAACTTAGATTTTTGTTTAATACAAAACAAGCTGATATTCTTAATTGATTTAAGAATTACATAACATTTTTCATTGTTGTTCTGGCTTCCTCCTCCACCATCTAATGTGTAAATATGTGTGAGGGGGAAGATCTCTGAAATTGAGCTATGGTCTGGCAGGTTGAGAGGTTTGTCAGTTAGAATTGTCCCAGGTGCGTCGGCTGCAGTGGCTCACACCTATAATCCCAGCACTTTGGGAGGCCGAGGTGGGTGGATCACTTGAGGTCAGGAGTTTGAGACCAGCCTGGTCAACATGGTGAAAGCCCATCTCTACTAAAAATACAAAAATTAGCTGAGTGTGTTGGTGTGTGCCTGTAATCCCAAACCTTTGGGAAGCTGAGGCAGGTGGATCACTTGAGGTCGGGAGTTCAAGACCAACTTGGTCAACATGGCAAAACCCTGTCTCTACTAAAAATACAAAAATTTAGCTGAGTGTGGTGGTGTGCACCTGTAATCCCAGCTACTCTGGAGGCTGAGGCAAGAGAATCACTTGAACCTGGGAGGCAGAGGTTGCAGTGAGCTGAGATTGCGCCATTGCACTGCAGCCTGGGTGACGCAGAGCAAGACTTTGTCTCAAAAAAAAAAAAAAAAAATTGTCCAAAGTGAATGATGTGATGATTGCTTCATTGGTCTCCTTCTTCTTTAAGTAATTTAAAATCATACTGTAACTTGGCATGTTATGCTGATATTAAAAGAAATGAAACAGTTTTTGAGGAGAAATGTCAGTGTTTTGAGGCAGATTGTAACTATTGAAGATATTGCGAGTGCTCTTCTGTGCCCAAAGATAGACATGCCTTGAGTTTTAAACCCCACTAATTCAGAGTTCAGGACAGTTTGACCTTTGTCAGTCTGAAGTTTGTTTTAACAGAAGGCCGTGGGAAAAAATTTGTTACACAAATAATGAAAACTTACAGGGGAAAGTTTACTCTATTTAAAAAAGACTTTTCCTAACACTTCAGCATCATTAATAATTCTTTCGCATTAAAACAAACCTGGTAAGGCCTTAATATGATAATCTCTCATCATTTAAAAAAAAAAAATTCCAGAAGTTTTTTTTTTTTTTTTTTTTTAAATTGAGACAGAGTCTCGCTCTATCACTCAGGCTGGAGTGCAGTGGCGCGATCTCGGGTCACTGAAACCTCTGCTTCCCAGGTTCAAGCAATTCTTCTGCCTCAGCCTCCAGAGTAGTTGGGATTACAGGCACACACCACCACGCCTGGCTAATTTTTTTGTATTTTTAATAGAGATGGGGTTTTGCCACGTTGGCCAGGCTCGTCTTGAACTCCTGATCTCAGGTGATCCGCCTGCTTTGGCCTCCCAAAGTGCTGGGATTACAGGCGTGAGCCACTGCGCCCAGCCCAGAAGTCTTTTATGCATAGACATTTAGCACGAATAGCAGCATACCCTAAATATGGTGTTGTGCTTGTTCTCTTCAGTTTAATACACTCCAAAGATGGTTTCATATTAGTACATACAGATTGGCCTCATTCTTTTTATCAGCATATAAACAGAGGGGTACCATTAAATAATCTGTAAAAATTTTCCCTATCGATAGACATCTAGGTTGTTCTGAATATTTTGCTGGTCTAAACGATGCTGCACTGAAGATTGTTGATACCTGAAATATAAAATCCTAGGAGTAGGATCAGTGGTTAAAGGCTGTATTTGTGTTTAATATACATAGATATTGCCATATTGTCCTCCACTGCTTATAACCATTCATTTGTTTTATGAACTTGCATATGGTGCTTACTTTGTGCTAGAAACTATATCAAATGTTTTACAAATATTGTTTAATCCCCAAAACTACCTGTAGGGGAGAGGTATTATCATTATCACAGTTTTGCTGATGAGGAAACCGAGGCAGGAGAGATGAAGTAACTTGCCCAAGGCTCACTTCCAGTAAAGCAGAGCAGAGATTTGAACCCATGCAGTCTGGATCTGTTGTTGGCTCTTAATCACTGTGTTTAGGCCATTTCTCCCCAACCCGAAACCCACAGTGATGGCAAATATTTTCACCTGTCCTAATCTGATCAGCGAGATGCCAGTTTTTCTTTTCTTTCTTTCTTTTTTTTTTTTTTTGAGACAGGGTCTCGCTCTGTCACTCTGGCTGAAGTACAGTGTCATGATCATGGTTCACTGCAGCCTTGACTTCCCTGCGCTTAAGGGATCGACCCACTTCAGCCTCCTAAGAAGCTGAGACTACAGGCATGCACTACCACGCCTGGCTAATTTTTTTGTATTTTTAGTAGAAATTGGGTTTTGCCATGTTGCCCAGGCTGATCTTGAACTTCTGGACTCAGGCAGTTTGCCTGCCTCGGACTCCCAAAGTTCTGGGATTACAGGCATGTGCCACCACACCCGGCCCAGTTTTTCTTAATTGTCATTTTGCACTTTTCTTACTACTCGTTGTAGTTGAATACATTTTCAAATGTTGACAACTTGACAAGCCATTTGTATTTTCTTGACCATCCTTCTACTCCCTGTTCCTGTCCCTTGCCCAATTTTCCATGAAGTTGCAAATATTTTTTTTACTGATTTATAGGACTTCCTTCCTTTATATGTGGAGAATTCTTATTGATTTATAGGCGTTCCTTTGTATATGGAGAAAATCAGCCCTTTATAATATGTAATTCAAGTACTTTTTCCTAGTTTGTTTTTGGCTTTGCACTTTTTTAGTTTTTTCCCCTTATGGCATGTAGCATTTAGGTCATGCTTAGAGAGATC